ACATATAAACTATTGATTTTCTTCATCTCCATAACAATATAAGAAGCAGGAAGGCACTTGAAGAGCACATCTTCAGCCAAAGCCAGTGTCCGTCTCAGAATTGTAATGAAAGTGATCTGGATCTGCACTAGAATGTTAAAGGATCTTCCTTTGGCCATGCTCCTCCTCTTCACCAAGGTTCATGATATTTGGCAGCGAACTTGTCACATCTTGCTGACAAAGAGACAGACAGGCAGACAGACAAACAGCACTGATCACAAACCTCTACAGCAGCTCTCACTTCGGCAGATGACATATAGAACTTGATTTTTTTTTTTTTTTTAACAGTGGACAAGTGAGAGGACCGTTTATGAAGCTCTTTATATCCTGGTTCCTACTTTCTTCAACTGTAAATAAAGCACATTTGACATTGACTGATAGAGCCAGTAAGCATATACAAGGCAGTGAGTAAGCAGTGTGCACAGGTAGCCTTGGGCATGTCAAAATGTTTCCAAAACCATAAAACAGATCATCTCTTGCTCATGACACACACAATAAAAAACAAAACAAAACATATTTACAAAAATTAAAAATCACAGATTTAGTGAAAAACACTTTTGAACAGAAAAAGGAGTATAGACACGTATAGAAACAGTATTGTCCATTTTTGACTTTAAAAATATTTGTAGCAGCATTTTACCAGCTTCTAATCTGATGCATTAGTAGTCTACAAGTTGTTAATAACTTTAAACCCTGCATTTGTGTGACACAATGTACCAAACTGATTAATGAGTAACTTGTTTCACATGTAAACAAAATGTAGAGAACCGCATCTACACCACAAGTAGGTGCTACAGAAAGAAACAGACTGCTCACATGAATCGGAATAAAAATGTTGAATGCCTAGAATTAACATTTTAAACTGTGTTGCTTTTGTTCTTTCATTTGACTACAAAGTCACATTATTAATGATTGACGAGGTTTCAGTAGCGTCCACATAGGATTTCTGTTTGCTTCTTCTCCCTGTCGGACCAAAGGCGGTAATTGCCTTCCTAAAAGTCCTGAAACAGCATTACATGAATGACAGTGAAAAACTTACACAAAGCCATAGACATCCCTCTGGAGTGTATCAGTTCACCAGGGAATCACTCACCAGGTTTCATTAATAGTTCACTTATTTACACATCTTGGAGACACAGTGTGTATGGAAGCCCAAATGTGCCTTATTTATATGGCACGTGTGATAGAATAATTAAACGATAATTACAAACCAGCATTTTAACGAGTATGTAAATGCACAAATAAAACTGATAATAATAACTACATAATGAATTATTCCATAAATAAGCCAAATGTGTAAAAATCCCATTTTTAGGGGGAAAACACTTACAGCTACATTCACAGACTAAATTAGGCTCCATTAAGAGCTATAATTTCATTTACACATTTAAGAGGGTAACTGCCTTTTTTAAATTTTTTATTCCATTTTCCTGCTGCTTTTCCTTTTTCATTCAGCTTACATGGCATTCTGCAGCTCTCAATTTGCTGATACAGAAACATATTTGCAAATAAATTTTACAATGATTCATTTTATTGTGCATTTAAATGGCTTGATGAGTACTTGCTAATCATTTTCAGGACACTTAATTTTTTATTTTTTTTTATACGTGACAAAACCAGTTCAGCACATGTTTAAGCTGGCATTTCTTATTTATGTCCATAAATCAGAAAAATAATCTTTGAAATATCAGTGTTTATATTTTCATTGATTTGTGGCGAAGGCACAGCAGCGACTAAGGATAAAATCACTTCACACGATCTGTGTTATAGTTTAATTTCTTACTATTTTCTGATGTATCTGTGTGTATATATACTGAACCAAGATTTTTTGTCTAACCTTGAGCTGTTCCATAATTCTGTTTTCATTTTGCCTTGTGTTTCAGTTTCCTTAATACGAAAAAGAAAAAGAAAGACATTCAAGAAAGTCATAAAATTCAAACATAATTATTTTCTTTTCTCATCAGAGATAAATAATTTTGTCAAACCCAAATGCACTCAGTTATTAAGAATATTTCAAGATTGCTGGTTATAATTTGCCTTGGTGATGTGTTCAATACAGCTAGGACTGACGAGAAAGTGAACCGAACAGTGCATTCTGCTCATTTGCACAGAGAGCAAAGTGTTCAAGCATCTTCACTTGACTTTCTCAATTTCTTGCTTATATGAAGTCACAGAGGCTGAAGTGTAAACTTTGTTCTACATACTAAAGCATTTGAAGCTTTTATTTTTAACTTTTCGTTGTTAACAGAATGTTTTGTGTTGGTTCGAGAGTTTTTGTCTTGTTTTAAGAACTGATCTGTAATTTAAAGGTCGTCAGGTCTTTTATTGAAGATGTTAGCTCCTTAAATTCTGAGGTGCTTTGTGAAATGTCCACCTTAAAAAATCCATCCATTATCTATACACCGCTTAATCCTCACTAGGGTCGCGGGGGACTGGAGCCTATCCCAGCTGACTTAGGGCGAAGGCAGGGGACACTCTGGACAGGTCGCCAGTCTATCACAGGGCCACAATTAACGACAGACAACCAAGCACACTCACATTCACACCTACGGACAATTTAGAATCACCAATTAACCTCAACATGTTTTTGGACTGTGTGGGAGGAAGCCGGAGAACCAAGAGAGAACCCACGCTGCACGGGGAGAACATGCAAACTCCACACAGAAAGATTCCGGTGCCCCCACCGGGACGTGAACCGACAACCTTCTTGCTGCGAGGCAACAGTGCTACCTTAAAAAATACAGTCCCAAATTATTTTAACTTCACAGCTGTAAGGACAAACCATAAATCACATAAAACACGCATAAGTCTCCTTTTCTTCATCACCGTGGCTTATTTTTTTACTTCCACTTCATGATGTGAATTAAAGAGTAAGTGGCAGCTTTAAAACAATGAGCCAATGACACTGATGTTATTGAACCTGTTCTGAGTATTCTCAACTGCATCTCCACCAAATCTGATAAAACAGAAATTAAGCACAACAATGTTGCACCCATGAGACAGCCTCATTACTGAACGTGCCACAGTGGAAACTTTAAAAGAAAGGTGGTGAGTTATATTTTAATAACAGATACGGCCTGATCCCATTGCTGCCAGCTCCAGGTGAAAAGGTTAACTCCTAAAGTGAGGGGGAGCTGCTTGTGAACAATGCCATGTTTTTTTTTTGTTTGTTTGTTTCTGGGTTGTTTTTTTTTTTGAAAATCTGAGGAGCTTACTTTGCAAACCTGTTTTCAGATATTGTAGAAACACCTGAGTGCTATGTAGGTGCAAGCCTCTTACCTCCAGCTGTCTCCTATCTGTGTCTCTGCTGCGTTTGTCAATATGAGTTAAAAAAAAAAAAAAGAAGAAGAAGAAGAAGAAAAAAAGAAACATTCCTAAATCCTAAAGTGAGTGGACTTAATAAATAATTCAGTGTGAAGCATCTGTATCTTGAATTCATTGCTTATGTGAAGCTAAACAGGCTGACATCAGAGTTTTACTCCTTTTAAAGTTTGATGGTGATTTTTATGCTACTTTCAAGAAAATCTAATACCTCATGTTGGCTAAACCTTACAGTGTTTCCCTTGAAATGAACAATTTTCACTTGTTAGCAGATTCTTAGTCTCTAATAAAGGGTGCTAAGCAGAGACCAAAAATGTGCCATAATGAGCCTGGACTTTGAAGGTTTTAAAAGAGTTGTGGTTTCTCCTCAGGTGCTGATGTTGTACTGAAGCCACAACACAACACAAGGCAGGAATTGACGAGCTGCTTACTGTGGGGAATGGTAAGACTGTGGGAACCCCTCAGAAACAAGAAACACGTTTACAGCGTACAGTGTGTGTTCTGTGATTTGTTTGTTATTTGCAAATTGAAATTGCTTGCAGCACAATGCCACAGCGGATTGTCAGTACATTCATTTCTTCTTGCTGCAAAACATCAGCGCGAATCTTTGAGTTTCATTAGAACAATGGAACTTTAACGACAGCAGGGACCAGTGATTGTCCAGCTGACTCCAGAACCTCTCCTGTGAAGAGAGGAAGTGCTCGTCCCCAAAAGGATGATCCCTGATTGGTCCCCATTTCAATTAAGAGCAAATATTAGGAGTGGCACCATTTGTGCCCGTCGCAACAAAGGGCAAAGTGTTCTCAGTCTGCCCGGGAGACTAATAATATTCCAGCAGGATCTCTTCCAGCTTAATGACTCAGGACATGCTGTACTTGCCCTGCACTTGCCGGGTCGCTGGTCCACCCCCCTTCCCCTGTTTGCTCCCGCGTCTGATGCAACAATATTGTTTCATATCCTTTCACACGCGCTCCTGACTGCGCACTAAATACGCACCTTCTTTACGGTCTAGAATTTCATAGCTTTAGGGGAGGAAGTTTTCTATTTTGTTGATAAGTAGCAGTGGAGGGCCTATAAATAGATTTTAAAAAGTGCAGCACAAAAAAAACAAGCAGCCAACTCCACATCGTTTGCAAAAAAAAAATCCCTCATTAAGACGCTTTTTTTTTTTTTCTTGCCGGAACGCGCGGTGCATTTTCTTTTCTTTTTCTTTTTTTCTTTTCTTTTTTAAATCAAGCGGTCAAGGTGACAGTAAAGGGCCGGATGAGGACTAGATTTGCAGAGGTGTGGAGTGTGTGGATGCCACTGTGATCCACTAGACTGACGTCTCTCCGGTAGCGCAGAAGAAGACCGCAGCCCGGTTATTTCACAGACTTCAGTACAAGCCAAGCAGTCGACAGTCTCTCCCGCAGAGAGACAGAGAGAGAAGAGAGGGAGGGAGAGAAAAAAAAAAAAGAACTTCAGCAACGACAAGCTGTAGTTTTCCAGCATGGTCAACCTTCGGAAATCTCCGTTTAAACACGCTCGCCCAGCAACTGTTTGATTTTGCTGGTGTAGGATTTTTTTTCTTCCCCCGTTTGGAAAGATTCGTCTTTTTCCCTCCTTCGGCTGATGTAAAAAAACACCCGCTTCATATTGGAATGATGTGGACCTCTCATGATACTGTTGGATTTGTTTTCTTAGCCGGATTTTGTGTTCAATTCGGATTCTCTTTTGAAGGTAAGAATGACATTGTTTTCTTCTTCTTAAGAAACAGTGCATGTGAGTGTGATCGTGTCGTGGGTTTGCTGCCCTGCGTGCTGGGAGCTGCTCGGTCGGAGAAAGTGTTAAAAGTGCGCAGCCTTTCTGGAGAAAAAAAAAAGGCAAAGGAGGCTGTTTGGAAGGAATGTTTAAAGGATTGTAATAGCCACTGAAATGGAAAAAAGCAATCTCACGATGGAAGATGAAGAATGTTGCGTTTTTCTACTGGAGATGGGAAAAAAATGCAACTGGTGATTGTTTGAAATCAAGTCATTTCACGTCGCGCTGAGGAGAGCGGGGCGGCTGTTTGATAGGTTTTTTTTCCCCCTCCTTGCATTTCTTTCATGCACCAAAAACAGACTGCACGGTGAAGAAATTCAACTTCTCTTATATTCTTAGTGAAATGAAAAGTGAGCGATGGTTGGTTTCAGCACCGCGGACAGCGGCTGTACGCGGTGCTGTCCAAGGTCCTGAAAGCGCGGCTCCACATTCAGGGTGCTTGATGTGGCTCACATTACCCACTTTCAAACTGCCTCGACGTGCTTTCTTCCCCTCATAGATGCATTCACATATCACTGGTACAGACCTATAAAGAGTCAGACCCCGTCGGTAGTTTGTTAGAAAGAATGTAAATGATGGTTTGGTGCTAAAGTTTGCGGATATTATTTTATAAGCCGCCTCCGTTCTGCTTAAGGCTGGATTCCTTTTTTTTTTTCATCCCCCTTCAAACCGAACTCTTTTAGTATTTCTTGTGTTTTTCCCCATCTACACTTGCCCTTATTCTGGTCCTCTCCAGTTTATTAGAATTTGACCAGTCGCTCCACGAAACGACATAAATTAAATAGAGAGTGGGGAGAAAAAAAATCCCATAAAAACCTGGAGCCTGCACGTAATTAAGTGTCTGAATAATGTAGCCACGGTGCGTTATGTAAATTCCCGATGAAGACGCGTCAGTATGTGTGACTCGGGGGGGTGGGGGTTGGTGGTGGTGGTGGTGGGGAGCCATCTCCTTCAATTAGCACAAGAACGCACCTTTATCAGGCGCTCCTCGCTTAACGCAGCTGCTGTTCGCCGCCGTCCACGCGCTCTCCATGACCGCAGCCACAAGCAGCCAAATCAAAGTGATTAATTCACGGGGATTTTCTTTGCGTGTAGAAATCACACAAACTGCCCTCATCATTATTACCCGCTCCTCGCCCCCCTCCTCCTCCTCCTCCTCCTCCTCCTCCTCCTCCTCCTCCCCCTCCTTCCTCCTCCTTCTCCCATCTGCAGGTCGCTTCACGGATCTGCCCTCCAACATGACGGTAAAAGAGGGACAAAACATAGAAATGGCGTGCGCTTTCCAGAGCGGAACCGCGTCTGTGTATTTGGAGATCCAGTGGTGGTTCGTGAAGGCGCCGGAGCCCACTGACAGCGAGGAGGACGTCGAAGATCAAGAGGTACAAGGAACCCTCTTTTTTTTGTTTTTTGGGTTTTTTTTCTTGCCCATGAAGAGCTGTGGGAGATATGTTGCAAGCACACCAAACCATAAAGGGGGATAAGGGCATCCAACTTGTATCTGCGCTATTACGCACAAGCGACTTATGTCATCATGCCTGGTATAGCAGCCCTGTCGGGCAAGGTCGGGCTGTCATGCCAGAAGTTTTTGTTGACCTATTTTCTTACAAGAAACAGCATGTTATGACCTTCAGATATCTACAGCTGCTGCTTTGAAGTGATCAAAAACTTCATGCGCAGATAAAATTCATACCCGCGTGTGATTACAAGCCACAATAAAGACTCCATCCACACAGATCCAAGCTCCTTTGTAATAAGAGTACATCATTTAGATTTTTAAATTTCTTTTGTTTTCTCTAAAATTTAAACATGCTGCTTTCGTTTTTCGTTTTTCATATGAAATGAATGAGCTCAAACGCCCCCTCTATTTCTAAAGCAGTTAAAATAATCCCTGAGCAAGGAGCAGTCCCATCAAGAAAAATCAAGGGAAAAGAAAAAAAAAAAGCATTAATCAAAGACTAGTGTGGAAAAAAAAGAAGAAAAAAGAGCTCATTCTGGATATTAATTACATGATAAATGAAGTAAATGAGCCTGACTATTCATGAATGGATGAAAAAGTAGCTGAATCAATATAGCCAAAGCATATTCTTGTATATTGCCTCATTAAACAGTGCACTGGAAGCGCTTTGGCATTTTGTTATGTATTGCTGCTGCATTACTGCTGGTTATGACAGCTCCTCTTGCCCCAAATAATGATCGGCTGCCTGGTGGATGAGAGTGACTAAATGTGTTTACTGGATTCAAATGGATTGAAATGACTTGCTTACATATTGTGTGGCAGGTAGCTGCATGTCAAGATTTGGAAAGGCTGGTGTATTGTTATGACAGACATCAAACGGTGCTCTTTCTATTTCTGTGACAAAAGGGGACGAGAGAGATGCGTGTGTGTGACGGGGGGGTAGCTGGATATCCATGTGGCTTTAATTATTGTTCCATTGTTGCCCGGCTCTCATAGTGGCATCGGCCAGGCTTTGATGTGGGTTTGATCCCACGTGACTCTTGGATGTTGGGCTGAAGTGGCCTATTGATGCAGACATCGCATTGTTACCCATATTTCTTATCAGGGAAGGCTGTTTGAAACGAAAGCTGCTGTGTGCATTTGTCCTACAGTGTTGCAGTTTGAATACGAGCTGCGTGCGAGAGTAGCTGCTCGGGAACCAGCTGGTCTCCTGGAAATTTAGAAGGAAATGAGCGCGGTGTCTTAGAATGCAAATGTTTATGCAAATATAAGCAGCATGCATGAAAAGTAAGAGTTGTTGGATCTTTGAAAGGATGACATGAAAAGAGTCAAGAAAACAGACAGCAGCTCCACACTGAAATAGTGCAGAGGGAGGAAAGTGAGAGTGGGGTTGGATGGGTGGGTGGATACTTTATCTTCAACTCCTAACGACCCAGGTTCAGTTCTCAGCTGTGCAAATATTCTGCTGTGAGACTGAAGACAGAATTCTCCTTATTCAACCCTTTGGTTTACTGCGTATATAAAAACATAGCCTCCACCCAGCCGTTCCTACACATAGAAAAGCATGTAAATGAGGTGTTAGTTACCTGTTGTCAAACAACAAGTTATCCAGCACATCCATTTTCATTACTATGTACAGCAGCCTGTGTTTAGTAAGTATCCTTTCATAGAATTCAGACAGAAGTACTCACTAACGGGACATACATCCAAATATTGGTGCATTATTGAAAGACGCACTCAGTTCTTCTAAAGTGTTTCCAGATCCACTCAAGCAAGTCAGAAATGGAATCCATATATAATATATTATAATATTAAAATATATATAAGAAACCAGGACAGTCTGTCTGCATCTAATCTATCTAATATGTTCCCCATGTAGAAGAATATTCAACAGCAGAAAGTAATCTTCATTCCAAAGCTTAGAAAAATGTTGCAGTCTGCTAATTCAGATGAGCAGACAAGGACAGTGATTTTTGAAGTTGGAATGAATTTATAACACAGAGTAGCACCAGAACGCCTCTGATGAGAATCAGGAGTATTGCACTAAAGGATAAAGCCAAAGCTGGTGGTCTGGGGTCGCCTCACACATGAAGGGGGCACTTGAAGGTAAATTTTTTTGGAGGCTATTATACATAAGTTAAATGATGTCTTAAATATACACAACAAGACTAAAAGGATCAGTCCACGTGTCCGTAAGACCGCTCATGCTTTAACCCTTTCCACCACGGACGTCTCCGTACCAGCACTGACCTGTATCTGTTGTTAAAACACAATGAGGCTGCAGAGAGTGTCACATTCATGAGTGCAGCGTTCTTGTGATCATTTCTGTTGCATCAGATTTTGTAGTGTTGCAGTTGAGGATTCCAAGAACAGGTTCAGTAACGTCAGTATCTCTGACTTATTGTTATCAGGCTGCTATTTAAGCCTCTCAAAAACAGGTCTGAGCAGGTGGAAGTAAATGAGCCAAGGTTTTTTTCAGATCCTCCTGCGGCCTGATGATGAAGACACTGATGCTCTGGAGGTGTTGTTTCAGCTGCACATTAGAACACATTAATAAATTAAAAAAAAAAAAAAAACAAAAAAAAAACACCCGAGGCTTTAAGATACTTTGTCAATGGGAAAGTTCGATTTAGAAAACTAATTTACCAACTTGTGTTTGGCCCGATCACATGTAAAGAACAAACTTGTTTAGAAATTTATGTTTAAAAATTGGATGTGTTCATTTTAACATGTGTTCAGTGGAAAACTGTGGAAGATGTAAAATGTGTGTCTGAGCTGAGTGAATAACTGGAAGATATGAAGTATTTATTTAGAAATCACCAATACGTACGGGCCCCCATCTCTTCCGTAATAAGAAAACACTAAAGGGTATTAAATATTAACCCCTTTAAGCATGCTAAAGGCTGGAAAACCACCCTATCCCACTCTGTCTAACACACATAGAAATCAGCTTGTTACACAATTGTGCATCTGGAAAGAAAAAAAAAACTGTTAATTTAAAAGATTTGAAATGCCTACACATTGTATTCATGCGGGCGGGTGCGCACACACACACACACACACACACACACACACAGACTGAACCCTTTATGCAGACAGTCGTGCACAATACAGTCCCTGTGAGAACTGTGTTTTCAAAGGGTTTTTTTTGTTCATTTCATGATTTAACCAGAATGTTGACGCGTGTTCTTTACATTACATCTGTCGCAGTGCTTCTTCTTATATAACAGTGTTTATCTGTACAGACGCTCTTAACTAACAAAGAGACCAAGTGAAAGGAAAACATTCTAGATGTCTTGTGCATTACTGAATAAACGTTTCCCCAAAATGTAGATATTTGGTTTCTGTGAAGACACTGAAATCCCCACCATCATTAAATACTTGAATTCCATTAGTATGAATGGACATTAAGCATGATTCCATAATTCCATAATTTCAGTCAGCAGTGTGCCATGACTAGTCAGCTATCAAATATCTGCAAGCTCTTAATTCAGCAACAAATAACTAACATGTAATTACCCCAAGAGAAAACATGAATTTGGAAAGATTAAACATTTTTTGTAACCATCCCAAAAAAAAAAAAAAAAAGGCTTTATTTTGCTTTCACAGCTATTTTTAAAATGTGTCATGGTTTACAGTTTGTGTCTGGTAAAGATCATTAGGTTCAATTAACTCCTTGCTATGGATAATGAAACTGTGTTTTTGTTTAAAAGAAACCAATTTTTACTGTCAGATGCAAACAGGAGGAATTGGAGTAATTGATTATTACTATTTTCAGCTCTTACCATCTGATATTCATGACTTGCTGCTCTAGAGAGCATTTCCAGCAGACAGTTCACATATTTCTCTATTAGTTGGCTGTCTAACAGTTTGATATATGTACATTTTTACATGATAAAGATAAAACCATGTCCAATCTATATTCATCTGACTGAATTAGTTTTGTATTAAAGGAAAAATAATGTTCATGATGTTGCAGTATTCATGCTCATTTCTTGAAATCCTACGAGGCCGCCCTGGACACGGATTAGAGGAAGTGAAAAGAAAACAAACATGTCAATACAGAAAGCTGCTGTTTGGCTTTGGCTCCAACAACAAGTGGTAAATGATTCTCCTCTCAGATTATAAATGACACGCTGCCAGTTCATAATTATGCACAAACACAGACAGACAGAAACAAAATATTCACACCTCCATGACAAAGAAGAGTCATGCCGCTGACAGGATTTGCTACACTTGTGATGTTGTTGATTCAAGTCAAAGAGTAAAGATACACAGAGAGGGGGAGAGCGATGGCGAAACACGAGTGTGAGCTAAACATTTGCTGTTACAGAACATGAGCAGATTGCTGTGGAACCGCAGGGTCATCACTCTATATGGCATTTTGGCTGCAGCTTTCCAACTACAAACTCAGGCTGTGCTGACTGCGATTACATATGACTGTGTAGTGCTGCTTTTTTTTTTTTCTTGCCCTGTTGAATTATCATCCATAAAGGCTGAAGTGCAGCTCTCAAAAGACACAATGGATAGAATTTTGCTTTCATTGAGTCTGCAGAACACAACCATATGCCTAACCCTAACCACATATAGTGTGTAGTTTTGAAACACCCACTTTGATTGAAGAATGCCCACTCATGTTCTGCAGAGACCTCTACTTGCATTTATTCCAACGGATATGAGGATGTGAGCGTTAAATTTATGAGCAGGTTGTTGGAGGGCTTGCAAAGCACTTCTGTCATTTAAAAACAGGCACCAGCGATGTCATTTTTATTTCATTTTTGAAAGCAGGCAACAATTTTGAAATCAGCTGTCCGAGATGACAGTAATGAGCTGGTTGAGGGCTGGAGTTAGAGCCGTAGTGCGTCATACAGAGTCCCATCTTGCCAGATCCAGTATGCGGTTTTAGATGTTCCAGCTCTGTTT